ATGATGCTGATGCACGAATGGGGGAGAAGTTAAAAATCCCCTCCGGTCGGCGTGCAGCGACTCTGAGGTCACCACGCAGAGTGGAAGGGAACCGCGGGGCGAGCGTGACCATCGACTCGACGCCCGATCCGCAAACGCGGAGGAGGGCGAGGAGCCGCAACAGAGTTTAGATCTCGCCCCAAAACAAAAACGCCTTTCGCATCTTCTCCCCCCGTGCTCACGCGGAATTCCCCCCCCCCCAGTCCCCCTCGTTTTTCTCCTGCACATTTAGAATCGCCGTCAAGCGCTCATGGGCATTTGGCTCCCGTAAATGTCCACGCGATAAGCCACTCCGTTGAGCTGTCGTTTGTGGCCAGGTCGCTTCTGGTCAAATAAAACAGTCTTATAGAGTCCGTGGGTCTCTTGGTAACTCTACAGGTCTCTGTGTCAGTCTGTGGGTCTCTGTGTAGACCTACGGGTCTGTATGTGAGTGGGTATGGGTGTCTACGTGGGTCTGTGTGTCTCTGTCTAGCTCTGCAGGTCTCTATGTAAGTCTACATGTCTCTGTGTAGACCTACGGGTCTCTATGTGAGTGGGTATGGGTCTCTACGCCAGCCCCCCCAACACGTTGCGCAACTGCCGGTGCTTCCAAAGGACCGGAGCGGCGCGTTCCCGAACGACCGTCCCCATCGCGGCGCTCGACCCTCGCTCCACGCCGCCTCCGTGTGCTTTGTTATCGGCTGGCATCGGCCCCGCGTGTTTTACCCAGCGGGCCGTAGTGCGGCTACTACTGCTACTACTGCTACCGCTACTCTCATCATTATTATCTTCATTACTTTTTGACCGGGTCCGTTGTGCCGTTGATTATTTTCGCGAAAAGGGGGGGGGGGTGCACCAAAAACTTGTATTCTCGCTTTCTTCTCGAGCGACGCAACCGAGAGAGAGGTCCAGCGCGGCCGCGGAATTATTAAGTTCGGCCGGCACCGTCCGCGGACAAAATATAGTCCAGTGCCCCCCCCCCTCCCGACACCCCATCCGGCATGGCGCCACGACGGCCCGGCTCGACTCGAACATCCGAGCCCTTCAAGCGTCGCTCGTCATTTGTTTGACGTTCGTCGTGCAGCCGCAGCGGGGGCGGCGATGATTGCTCCTCGATTCCGGCGTCACGATCTTGTTTCGTCATTATCATTGTCGTCGTCATCCGTCGTTATCACCGTTGTCACAGTGGCTGGCACACGGTGCGCTGCGAACCTGATGACCAGTTCTGTCCCCGGCCACGGCGAACATCGGCGGCGAGTGACATCCGAACTGGTCCTCGAACCAAGCCCAATCCACACTCACCAGTAGGATTGGCAAAGGGTGGTAAAATTACGATACTTTTTACGTTATCGCTTGTAACAGCTGCTATTCTATTGGAAATAATCGGTGTCGAAGTTGCTTCTCGATGCTCTCACGCGAAATTGACGTTTTGCCGGGGCTCGGCGGACGAGCGTCGGAAAGTCACGAATGTCGGAACCCGACAATAATGCGACATTCCGGTGAACCGCGCTGAGCGCCCGTGCTCGTTCGCTCGTTTGGCATCGCGTCCGTCTTGATCACGGCAATACGGCCTAATTCTTACCCCCTTGTCGTCGTTGTCCCCCCCCCCGCCCTCGCGGTGCAGGAGAATTCACGGAGAAAGGAAACTCGGACGAGAGCTCACTCGACAGGAACTCCGCCTCTGCCGCTGGCACCGAAGAGAAGAGGGAGCGCTCCGGTAAGGGGCGCCCAGCAACGCCGTGCGCCCCCCGATCGGCACCGTCCATTCACTTTAACCGGGTGGGGGGGCGGCCACTGATTCCAGAATGACGGTGTCCTTACTGGGTTCGGAGTTCAACAAATCGCGGCCCTGTAGACGGTGGCAGATCCACGGCGGGGGGAGGGGGGGGCGGTGCAGGGGCTCCGCCCACCGAGACTCCGCCCACCGAGACTCCGTGAAGTAGAAGGTCTCGTTGATGCTTACCGGAGACTCGTTGTCTTTGCGACTCACGCCGGGCACGTGTCCCCGATGCATGCCAGCCTACCGGAGATGCGGCGCCGCGCTCCTAGGAGACGCCTTTGGCGTGCGTTTTCCCGAGCGCCGGCGCCGGAAACGGAGGCGCCGCGTCGCCGACAGCCGCCGACAAACGCCGCGCGCGGGAAACTAATTTGGCATTTTTTTGTGTTTTAAGGGGTATCACGGCGTGGGATGTTTGCTTATGTGACGTGGCCCCGGAATTGCATGTGACAGTGTCTCTTCCCAGGTTATTACCGCTTGCAGCTTCAATTTGAGAGAATCTAATTTGAGCCAATTTGAATTCTGATGAACGCTCAGGAGGTGCGCCACGGCCTCCCGCGCTGTCGAGTTTCCCGACTCCTCGATTCGTTAATTTCTCCCCCCCCCCCCCCCGTCTGTCGCTGCCTCCCCTCCCTTCCAGCGCCCCCACGCAAATTTCTTTTTTCTAGCGATGATTGCGCTCGCGCGGCCGCGAGAGCCGTGACACCGCGCCGGGCGCGGAGCGGCGTCGCCTCGCTCTTAACGCTCCGCGCCCGCCCGGTGATTGCCGTCGCCCCGTATGACGCATCCAGCATGAAATTACCTCTTTCCCTGCGCTCGTAAATTATTCCGGGCTGAGGCGTGTGGGGGGCGTGTGGGGGGCGCGAGAGGGGCGGGGGGGGAGTGGAGGGTGGTTGGGACGAGCCACCGTAGTTGTGCGTGCGGCCTTCGTAGGTGCTGCTCGCTAACGACGCTTGCTCCAAAAGTCCGTTCAGGCTGTACGGGGGGCGGTGGGGGGTGGTGGGGGGCGGTGGGGGGCGGTGGACCGTGGAGAGCGGCCGCGGCTGCGGGCGGTGGGGAGTCGGGGGGCGCCGAGCAGGCATCCAGTCCTTCGGTCTCCGTGCCGCTTGTCCCGGGGCCTTGCCGAGGGCCCTCTTGGCTGCCCCGGCCCCCCGTGCCGTTAATCCAGCCAATTAAGTGGGAGCGGGTGTGAGAGCGGAGGGGGCGTGGGCACGGTTGGGGGGTGTGGGGAGGGTGGGGGGGGGGGGGGCTCACACGCGCGTGAGCGCGAGTCCCGTGCGCTCGCGTGTTTTCAGAACAAACTCCAAACCCATCATTCTTTCCTGTTCTGGCTGTCGGCGGGCGGCATTAATCACCACGCGTGCCAAGTCGTCCCTGCGCCCTTCCCCACGAGCATCCAATCACCCCGGCCCCGCGTGCGCCACACCGCCACCACCACCTCCGCCGCTCTTTGCTTTTAAATTAATGCCGCCGCTGCTCGATGCTCCCCCACCGCAAATCCCCAGATAAAGCATCTACTTATTTATTTATTTATGCCGCGGCCCTTGATCAAATTATTGCTACGTTGGACCGGTCCCGTCCGTCCGTCGGCCTTCGAGAGCGGGAGGGGGGGTGGTGAGGAGGGTGCGTAGCAACGTGCGGCGGCGAGCAACGGGGGCTCCCGACGCCGCCGGCTTCCGCAGTTCGCCGCCCGCTCGTCGCGACGGGATGGTGCCGCTGACGGACGAGCGGTGGCCTTGCGGTCCCCCCCTTCGCTCTCTCTTCCTCGGCGTCGCGTGCAATGTTGGCCATCGCTCAGGCGTCCGTTTGCTTTTGCGACTCGCAGATGGCAGTGAGGTGGTGGTGGTGGTCATCGAGCTGTTGATTGCTCTGCTCCTCCCGCTTAGGTCACGCACTCGCCAAACAAAGCTTGTTGCGCCATCCTAGGGCACTGCGCTGTAAACCCGGGCAACCTGAGTTCGATTCCTGACCACAGCTAATATCAGCAATTTATCTGAACTGATCCTGGGCTCCTGTCAAACAACCCACACACCGATCTGCGCAGTGAAGTATGGTCAAACAGCACGCATGATGGGCTGTAAATTATTATCATCTTTATCATAGTGCAGACATGTACAATGACCGTACACCCACGTGTCTATGCGTGTGTGTACCTGGTGCGGTGTGTTAACATCGCGTTCATGTGGCCATCAGAATGGGAGACGCGGCGTGTGCAGAGAGAGAGAGAGAGAGGTGATGGAAAGAAAGGAATTCGGAATTGTAATCTTGAAAACTACTTTAAAATGAATTCCCTCCATCGCCGCGCGACTCTGTGCTCCGCTCGTTTGCATATCTCTCGAGTGCCAACATGGTGACAGACCTCGAACGCATTAGGTCCGTCCATCCGTAAGAGTGGGGTCACGGTAAAACCTCGTAACGACGGCTCGGCGTGACGTCGCCGCTGCTGTTGAGGACTCGCGCTCCCCTCTGTAGGCCTGTGACATTGGTTGAAGGGGCGTTGCTCGGATGCACGCAAATCCGAGCTCGAAAAACTCACCGCACTCGTGTCAGCAACGCCGTGTGCGTGAGTGGTGTGTTGCCGCCTTGAAAGGAAACGATAAATGACGGGCGACGTTTTGGGCAACGGCCCTTCTGCACGGGGCGTTTGCGTAATTAATCCAGCAAAGACGACCGTTGCGGTAACGAAACACCGTTTCTTCCGCAGACGCCGAGCAGGCGCGGGCGTTCTTGGCGGAGAAGCGAACGTCGCCGCTGGACACTCCGGAGCGTCTGAGCCCGGCCAAGAGGTCGAAGCCCCTGGAGGACAAAACCCCATCGCACGACCAGGTACGGCTCGCCCAGCCCCCAGTTCGTTACTTAAACGGACTGCGCCGTCGTCGTTGTGTTAGCGGCGCGTCGCTGCAGGATGCGGCTGCGGTGCTTTCAAACGCAAAGAACGGATCGGAGTGCCCGTGTGGACGAGCGATCCGATGCACCGCGTGTTGTTGTTTCACGTCACGGCGTGGTAAAACTGCGTTCGTTACGGTCGGTAATCCCACACACCTCCGTCGTTCCTGCCCCCTCTTCCTGTTGCCACCCCCCCCCCTCCGATCTTGCGACTCTTGTTCACCGCACCGCACGCTCCGCTCACCTCCTCTCCTCGCCCGCCCTGCCCTTCCATCGTCGCCCTTGCCGCCCCGTTCACGTTAACCGGTGCAATCTCTCCCCCCTTTCCCTCCTGCGTCTGCATCTCTCTTCTCTCCCTTCATTCAATCATTCCCCCCCCCCCCCCGCTCTCCACGCGTCCTCTCTCTCTCCCCCCTCTCTCTGTCTCCCGACTCTTGTCGCCAAAACCTAAGGTGTACCAGTGTCCGTACTGCACATTCACCTGTGGCTGTGGTCGTCGGCTGCAGACGCACGTCGCCCGGCAGCACTCCTCCCTGCAGCAGCAGCAGCAGCATCAGCAGCAGCACCAGCAGCAAGCCCCGGCAGCGCCGGCGCCCGGCAATGGCGGCGGCGCGGTGCCCATGGCGGCGGCCGCCCTGCTGCGCTGCCCCCTGTGCCAGGACGCGCTGAGCAGCCGCATTCACCTGCAGCTGCACCTGACCCACCTGCACAGCGTCGCCGCCCACTGCATCCCCATGCTCATGCAGACGGTACGTGCGTGCGAGGGGGGCGGTGGGGGGGGCGAGCGCCGAGCCAGCCCCCGGTGCCGGCTATTTCTTCCGTTCGCCGAAGGCGCCGGGCGGCCCGATCGTTGTACCGGACGCCGCCGCGGTCGCCACCCCGAGAGCGGTCGGCTTTCGGACGGTGCGCTCACCCGCTCCGGTCGGGATGGCGCGCACGTGGGCGTCACGTCGCGCGCCGCCTCGCCCGCGTTCCCCCCGCCCCCCCCCCCCCGCCACGTGACTCGTGGCCAGCAGCATCGGTGCTGCCAGCGGAGGAGAATGGGCGACCGCCCAAGCCTCGTTGACTAACGGGGAAGGAGGTCGAATCTTCGACGCGGAGCAAGGGGGGGCCCGCTCCGCCCACACCTCCAATTAGCACGCTCGGCTACGTGTTGCGAAAGACGTTCTACATGCGTGCAGGGCCGGTGGTATGGCGCTGTTGATATCGGAGGCGGCGGCGATACGCAGGAGGCCGTGGGTTCGAGCTCGACCCTCCCGTAGAGCCGTAGCCGCACATTGAGATCCATCGACTAACATGTCGACTCGTAGACTCGCATCGAGAGCCCGGTGAGAGCTCGCCGAGACCCCCCGGTGAGCGGAGTTCGGTGCCGCCACCGCAAGCGCCCGCTGCCCTACGACGCCGCGGTGCTCGTAATTGGCCATCCCGGCTTCAGCGGTGCCCTGCGGTGACGGCGCAACAAATGCAACGTCAATTACTGTTTACCCCGAGCCGGGGCGGTGGGGGTTCATTCTGTGGTGCGTTTATATTTTTTGTCCGTCCGCCGATGCCGAGCCTTTCTCCATTGGGCGCAGCGTTGCAACGGGCTGGCGCGAGCGGTGCTGCCCGCACGTACGCGTTGCGTTGCGTTGCCTACGATGGACGGGAGAGAGGGCCGACGGGGAGGGTCTCTCTGGTCCGCGCTGAAGGCCCCCCCCCCCCGCGTGTTTATGCCGAACGCGGCACGAGACGTGAGGCCTTCGCCCTAAACGCACTGCTGGGGCCGCGGGTGCTGTGAATGCGAGCACCTCAGAAGGCCGGAATGGCCAGAAATGGCTTTCCGAGGTGGCTGAATATCGCGCGCTCTCAGATCGCCTTCGTCTCCCCGTTGGTGATGCCTGTACACCACGCCAGTTGCTCATATTCATGCCGAGTCAACCTAGGGGAGCGTCCGCGTGGCGGCCAGCGAACCGTGGTGTGAATCGGGAGACCCAAGTTTGATTCCTGCTCACTACCAATGTCAGTGACGACTTTCTGAATCGGTCCTGGGCCCTCCCCTACGTTGACTCAGCCTTAAATACATGCATGCACGTACATTCATCACACACCCAGGCACCTTTGTCTCCCCGGTGCCAATAATTGCCAATTTCACCGGGTACACGTTTAAGGCTGGGTCGACCTAGATGTTTGCCTTGGTCAGGAATCAACCTCAGGTCACAACAACCATGATGTTTGTAAAAAATATATTCTCTAAAAATAATAACGATGATGATCACGCAAACGACTGTTGCAATTGCTAGGCCATATTATATGACCCCGGCGATTATTCGTTGCTGTTGATTTTATTCCTTTTTGCGTTCGACTTTACGAACGAGTTGAAGCAAGAAAAAAGCACAAAACCTCGATCCACTTGACAATCAACCGCGCCCGCGGGGGCCTCCCTCGCCGCTTCTTCCCGGCCTCGCTCGAGGGAGGCAGCAGCAGCAGCCCGCGTGCTGCCCAGCTCATCATGAGCCGCTCCAAATTGGCTTGGCTCCTAACGAGCGCCCCATCTCCAATTTCCGCCCTGCAAGGCGGCCCTCTCCTCAGGCTTCGGGGGGGTGGGGGGTATGGGGGGGGGGTGAGGAGGGGGAGTGATGGGCATCAGCGGCGGCCTCATGCAAAATTCAAGAAGGTGTTTTGGCGCTCGCTGCTAGGGGAAGCGTTCGCTCGCCGCTGTGCGTGGACACGGAAGGAGGGGGAGGGGCGGCGGAGGTCACGGGGGTCACGGTTGTGGGGGGAAGGGGACGGGGCAGTGGGACTGCACCGTGGACACGAAGGGTAGAAAGCAACCGCCAATTTGGTTTTTCTGCCTCCAACCACACCTCCCCCTCTCCCCTCCCCCTACAATTCACCACGACCTTCCAGGAGTCTAACCGTACCACGCCCTCCCCTTGCGGCCCTCCTCCCCCTCCTCCTCCCCCTCCTCTCCCTCCTCCTCATCTCAGTGGCCGATTCATGGCGATGGCGCCACTTTTCCTTAATGAGAACGGTCTAATTTGCCGCCCGCCTGGGTCAGGGTTCACTGGGGGTCACGCCTCCCTCCTGTCGGTTTTGCCGTAATGAATTGTGGCACCCGCACCTACGACCCCCCCCCCTCGCTGCCCCCCCCCCCCCCCCCACTGACTCCCCCACACCGTCCCCTCCATGACCGCCGAACGAACGGCAACGCACCGACGAGACCACGAAGGCGGTTCGTTCATTTATCGGAGAAATATAAAGAAGAAGAACAATGATCGTTTACGCATCTCGGGTGGGGTGGGGGTGGAGGGGCTGTTTGTTGTATTTACTTATTTATTTACCGGACACCAGTGCCGCACGCTCGTGCACCGTGCACGTAATTTGGCTTTTTTGCGGCTTTTGCGGAGGCCGCCCACAAATTAAAGAGGGCGGCAGTGCGGGCAGCCCCGACAAATGAGGCTCCGGGGGGAAATGGGGAAGGAGGACGCGTTGCGGTTCCCCCTCGCGAATCGCGGTCGGCCTCCCGCTCGCGCAGACGCGAGGACTTGCGTGGCCCTCGCGGAATCGTTCAAAACCCAAAGAAACTCTTTCCGAGATTGGCGCACGAATGGCCCCGCCATCGATCCCGGAGAACGCGGTGCGGGCCTGACGCAAAACCTAACGGCGCAAAACCTAACGGCGCACTCGGCTGCGCCGGCCCACCGACGACGCCGCGGCCCGCATGCTCAGCTCGGCCAGAGCCGGTTGGCCTGGACGAGGCCTGAGAGCGCTGTGCAGTCACGGACACGAGGCACGCGAGGCGTGCGGGCGGCTCGCGTGAGCACCTTCGCGTTTTGTTTTAAACCGAAGCCGCCAGGCCTTCCCCCGTCTCGTGCCGCGTTCGGCGTAAATCCGGGGGGCCCTCGGTGCGGATGAAAGAGGCCCTCCCTATCAAGAGGCCCAACCCGCGCCGTCGACTCCGACGTTCAAACGGAGCGGTTCAAATAAGCGGGGACGGACGGATGGAGACACGCTCGTGTCGGTGGCAGAGATCGCCGCTCGAAAACGGTGGGGTGGGGAGGGGAAAGAAGGGGGCCGATGGCCATTTTGTGCTGGGGCCGCGTGTCGCCGCCGCGGCCCCATCTCACAATTAAGCGCAATTTACGCTTGCGACGGTCTTGGCGGGATCCTCCGCCGTCAAGTGGCGCCCGTTGACAACAACGCTAATTGCCACGTTTTAACACGAGCGGAGTGTGTCTGGGTTGTGTCGGCGTGTACGTGCGAGAGTGTGCACTCGCACGCAGGTTTTTTTTTATTCGCTAAATTAATTACGATTTACACCGAGCCTTCTGTTAAATTGTAACCGACGGTGGGGGGGGGGGGGGTGGGAGGAATAGGAGGTGGGGAGGGGGGAGTGGGTGGGGAAGAGACTTGACCCCTGCAGCAAATGCACGGGGGGGAGGAGGGGCAAAAACCACAGGCGCAATTATGACGCTTTCCTCCACCAAAATGCAGGGGGGTGGGGGAGGGGGGTTATTTTGAGTCGTGAAAAAATGGAAAATAAGCTCCCCATTAGCCCCCGCATTGTGCCTTCTCAATTATGGAGACGGCAATCTAGCGGCAATTATAGGAGCAATCAATTTACATGAAGTCATTATCCTGTCCGCCTGCAAAAGCTGCTGAGTAGCCCCGGCATAATTCAACCATCCCCCTATTTAGGGCCGCATGAAATCAAGGTGTATAATTAAGAGGCATCCCGTTGGCCGTTGTGCGCCGCGAGACCGCGCGGCTCCCCGCTTTGCCGTTTTTGGCGCTAATTGAATGTGGTCGGCACTGCTGCGCCCGGCAGCTGGAAGAGAAGCCGTGCTCGCGTGCGGCTCGTGGGGACAATAACAACCCAACTTGCGTCGCCCGCCCCAAACCACGCCACCGCCGACTCTTAGCGAGGAGCCGTGGTCGTTGCCGACTTATTTTGGTCTTGCCTTTCGCCGGCGACGGCGACCGCTCGTGTCGACGACGATCGCCGCAGCGGTGCGCTCTCGCGGAGACGGCGGTACGTGCGTGGATGAGCGAGCGATTACGCTCAGTGCAACGATTGTCTGCGCATTGTCCCGTCTCCCCACCCCCCGCCACCCCCGCCACCCCCGCCACGCCCACCCGCCCGCCACGCCCGCCCGCTATGGTGACACGCTTTTCTCCCCTTCACGATACAGGTCTCCGGTGACGAGAGCGCCGTGCCAAACGACGCGTTTTTCCCCGGCGTTGGCGTGGCCGCCGACGGAACGAACACCGACATGAGCCGTGGCGCGGCGAATTCGGCGGCGACGACCATAGCCACGGTGGAAAACTTCGCCTATACAGGTGAGTCGGCAGCACCCCCCCCACCCCCCCGCACCCCCCCCCCCCCACCACTGTGGTGCGACAACCACCACCACCGGGCAACCCGCAATTGTGTCGTCATCGTCGCGCGCGCACGGTCGTGGTGACGCGTGTCGATGCTCGTAGACGTTCGTACACCAGCGTCACGGTCAGCGCCAGCGAGTAAGCCTCTCGTGGGCCCGCCAACTCGAGTTCGATTCCCGCTCGTGGGAATCGAACTAATTACACCGGCGATTATCTGAACTGGTCCCTCTGCCTTAAAAATGAGTGCCTGGTGCGGTGCGTAGTAAGCGTCGGCGCTGGAAAGGCAAAGACGGAGAACCTTCCGTGTAGCCTGTAACAGACCATCGGGGCAAATGCTGTCAGCGAGCAGCACCTATGAAGGCCGGCACTGTGGCACACGAGGGGCTGGGTGGCCAGCACCACGCCCGGCCGCCTTTGTCTCCCCAGTCACGATGTTTACTATGCATCGCAACGGGTACTCACTTGAGGCTGAGTCGACATAGGGGAGGCCCAGGATCGGTTCAGATAAGCGTCACCGGTGTTGGCCGCGGGCGGGAATCGAACCCGTGTCACCGGGTTCGTAGCGCAGCAGCGCGCTAACCGCTGCGCCGCCGTTCTCCACGCGCGCACGCCTGCTTAAAAGTAACGAACAAAAAACCTTCGGAACGCCAACGTTTTCACTTTGCGTGGCAGGCGAGGATGGTGAAAAGTCCGAGAGGCCCGGCACGTCCCGAGAGAAGGCCTCGCTGGGCGTGGGCGCGAGTGGCGACCAGAAGGGCTTCCTGTGCTGGAAGAAAGGGTGCGGGCAGCAGTTCGTGACGCCCGGGGCGCTGCAGGCCCACTTCGCCGAGGCCCACGCCAAACAGCGGCAGCAGCAGCAGCTGCAGCAGCAGCAGCTGCAGCCGCCGGCCGGAGCCATCGCGGAGCAGCGAGCGGTGGCGGCGGCTAGCAAGCACCGCTGCGGGCAGTGCGGCGCCTGCTTCAAGAGCCCCGACAAGGTGCTGGCTCACCAGCAGCTGTGCTGCCAGCCCGCCGCCGCCACCGCGGCCGCCTGCCCGCTGTGCCCGCAAAACCTGCGCACGCCCGCGGCCCTCGGCAGACACCTGGAGTCGAGCCACCCGGAGCTGAGCGACGGCGACGTGCGCCAGATCTGCGGCAGCGTCGGCATCGGCTTCCGGGTCGGCCGCCGGGAACCGTCGCCGGCCGAGGGAGGAGGCGAGGAAGGCGCGGCGGTGCACGACGGCGACAGGGGCGACGCGGAGGGCCCCTCCGAGGCGGAGGGCGGGCACGGCGGCACCGCGGAGGCGGGCGAGGGCGCGCCGGAGTGCGACGACTTGCTGGGCGACGCCAAGCGGGCGCTGCCGTTCCGCAAGGGCACCAACTTCCTGATGGACAAGTTCCTGGACCCGTCACGGCCGTATAAGTGCACCGTGTGCAAGGAGTCGTTCACGCAGAAGAACATCCTTCTCGTGCACTACAACTCGGTGTCGCACCTCAACCGCCTGAAGAAGACACTGCAGGGCTCAGGCGGGCCGTCCGGCGGCGCCGCGCAGGGCGACGCCGCCGTGAGCGCCGGCGACAGCAAGCCCTACCGGTGCGCCACCTGCAACGTGGCCTACAGCCAGAGCTCCACGCTCGAGATCCACATGCGCTCCGTGCTGCACCAGACAAAGACGCGGGCGGCGCTGCAGGAGTCGGCCGCGGCGGCGTCGGGCGGCGGCAAAGGGGACGGCGCCGGCGCTTCGGCGAGCGCCGTTCAACAGGCCGCGAGCGACTACACCAAGGCCCAGGCGGCCCCCGGTGGCTCGGCGCACAAGCCGGAGGCGGCGCCGGAGTATGCGGAGGCGCTGAGGAAGGCGCACGCGGAGGCGCCGCCGACGCCGTCGTCAGGCCAGCAGGCCCAGGCACAGGCCCAGGCACAGGCCCAGGCACAGGCACAGGCTTTGGCACGCGCCCAAACGCAGGCCCTGGTGCAGCAGGCGCAGGTGCAGTTCCAGCAGGAGCTGCAGCAGCAGCAGCAGCCGGCCTTCCTTCAGCACCAGCTCTTCAACCCGGCACTGCTGCCCCCTTTCTCCATGACGACGGAAGCCTTCATGCAGCTGCAGCAGCAGCAGCCGTTCTTCTTTCCCTTTGGTCTTTCCGGCGCCGACCTTCAGCTGCACCAGGAGATGGTCCTGCCCGGGTCGTCCGGCGCGTTCGCCATGTCCAGCGCGGCCGCCTCCATCCTGGGAGAGCTGAAGTCGCAGCAGCAGTGGCAACAGCAGCAGCAGCAGCAACAGCAACAGCAGCAGCAACAGCAGCAGCAGCAGCAACAGCAGCAGCAACAGCAGGCGCTTCAACTCCTGAGCGAGGAGATCGAGAATCGGAGCGCCGAGGAGGACGAGAAGATGGAGGAGGCGCAGGAAGAGGATGTCGACGGCGAGTCGACGACGACACCGGCGGCGGGCCCCGGCGAGGAGCCGGGCGACGCGCAGCACCAGCAGCCGGGCGGCTCCGAGGAACGCGTGCCGCCGCCCAGGATTCCGGCGTACGCCCGGGGCAATGCGGTGCGAGCGCTGCTGGAGAACTTCGGCTTCGAGCTGGTGATCCAGTACAATGAGAACCGGCAGAGGTCGGCGCGGCGGGAGGAGAGTGCCGCGCCCGCCGACGCCTCGGGCAAGATCGAGTGCAGGGACTGCGGCAAGCTCTTCTCCAACATCCTGGTACTCAAAAGCCACCAGGAGCACATCCACCTCCAGATCCTGCCCATCGAGGAGCTCAGCCGCTACTCCAAGCAGTACCGCAAGACCTACGACAAGGTCTACCCGATCAGGCCGGACTCACCCGAGATGCAGGCGCTGCCAGCGCAGCAGCAGCAGCTCCAGCAGCAGCAGCTCCAGCAACAGCAGCTCCAGCAGCAGCTCCAGCAGCAGCTCCAGCAGCAGCTCCAGCCGCCGCCGCCTCCGCCGCCGCCCCCTCCTCCGCCCGCATCCACCGCCCCGAAGCTGGCCACCCCTCCAGCCACCCCGCAGCCCGCGCAGCATTCGCCCCACCAGATGGTGTTGTCCCAGCTGGCGCTGCCCCTGGACCAGCTGCCCATGCTATCGCCGCTGATGATGCAGCCGATGCAGCTGCAGTCGATGGCGTCGCAACTGTCCTCGCAGTTCATGCCCATGGAGTCGATCACCGCCGACTTTGTGCAGCTCTACCACCTCCACCACCAGCAGAAGATGCAGCAGCAGCAGCAGCAGGCGGTGGACTCGGCCCTGCTCCTGCAGCAGCAGCAGCAGCAGAGCAAGCGGCCGCGCACCCGCATCACGGAGGAGCAGCTGAACGTGCTCAAGGCCTACTTCGACATCAACAACCTGCCGAGCGACGAGCAGATCCAGGAGATGGCCGAGAATACGGGCCTCTCGCACAAGGTCATCAAGCACTGGTTCCGCAACACGCTGTTCAAGGAGCGCCAGCGCAATAAGGACTCGCCCTACAACTTCAACAACCCGCCCACCACGAGCCTCGACGAGCTGCGTGCCGAGCCGCCGGCGGTGCCGGCAGCACCGGCGGTGCCGGCAGCACCGGCGCTGCCCCCCATGCCGGTGCCGTCCCCCGAGCTCCCGACCCAGCAGCTGCAGCAGCAGCAGCTGCAGCAGCAGCAGCTGCAGATGGAGACGCTGTCGAGCCGGCGCTCGAGCCGGACGCGCTTCACCGACTACCAGCTCAAGATCCTGCAGGACTTCTTCGACGCCAACGCCTACCCCAAGGACGACGAGCTGGAGCAGCTGTCCGGCCTCCTGAGCCTGCCGACGCGCGTCATCGTCGTGTGGTTCCAGAACGCGCGGCAAAAGGCGCGCAAGAGCTACGAGAGCCAGATCGAGGGCAGGGACGGCGAGAAGCGCGAGGTGCTGCTCAACGACCGCTACGTGCGCACCGGCAACATGAACTACCAGTGCCGCAAGTGCAGCGTGGTGTTCCAGCGCATCTTCGACCTCATCACCCACCAGAAGAAGCACTGCTACCGCGACGAGGAGGACAGCTACACGCGCGAGGACAACCAGATGGACGACTCGTCCGACGCCACCGACATGGGCAACTCGTCGGGCTATACGCCACCGCCGGCGCAGCCGCAGCGCGACGCGCCGGCCCCCTCGTCGTTCCAGACGCCCGACGGCGACTCCCGCGGAGCTCCGAGCCCCAAAACCGAACCGGCCGAGGAGAAGCCGAAGGAAGGCAAGGTGGCGAGGGAGCAGCAGCGGGAGCAGCAGCGGGAGCAGCAGCGGGAGCAGCAGCGGGAGCAGCAGCGGGAGCAGCAGCGGGAGCAGCAGCGGGAGCAGCAGGAGCAGCAGCTGCAGCAGCAGCTGCAGCAGCAGCTGCAGCAACAGCTGCAGCAGCAGCAGCTGCAGCTGCAGCAGCAGCAGCAGCTTCATCAGCTGCAAAGTCAGCAGGAAGAGCAGCCAAAACCAAAACCGAATCAACCTCAGAGCAGCCATCATCATCATCAGCTGCTATCGTCGTCGTCGTCGTCGCAGCAGGGGCCGATGCAGCCGGCGCCATACAACAGCCTGGCGCTGCAACTGCTGCCCTACCAGTGCGAGCAGTGCAAGCTCTCGTTCCCCACCTTCGAGCAGTGGCAGGAGCACCAGCAGACGCACATGCTCTCCGCACAGAACCCCTTCGCTCACCCGCCCTCTGTCCTGGAGCGCCCCGCGGAGATGCCCTTCGTGATGTTCGACCCGCGCTCCGGTTCGCTCGTGCCGGGCGCCCCGCCGCACGTCCTGTCACAGTCGGCGCCGTCGCCCGCGACGCCGGCGTCGTCCGCCGGCACCGAGGAGAGGGCCGACGTCGGGGGCAAGGTGGACGGCGAGCGGCTCGACGAGCCGCACAAGGACAAGCGGCTGAGGACGACCATCACACCCGAGCAGCTGGAGGTGCTCTACGGCAAGTACATGATCGACTCGAACCCCACGCGCAAGATGCTGGACCACATCTCCAGCGAGGTGGGCCTCAAGAAGCGCGTGGTGCAGGTGTGGTTCCAGAACACGCGCGCCCGCGAGCGCAAGGGCCAGTTCCGCTCGTTCGGCATGGTGCAGGCCCACCGGCGCTGCCCGTTCTGCCGCGCCCTCTTCAAGGCCCAGACGGCGCTCGACACGCACATCCGCTCGCGCCACTGGCACGAGGCGCGCCAGTCGGGTTACAACGTCTTCCCGTCGCCCGGCGCGCCGAGCCCCGGGCACACGCAGGCCAAGGACGGCGGCGGCATCGGCGGCATCGGCGGCGGCGGCGGCTTCGAGCACTCGCTCAGCATGGTGTTCTCCCAGCCGCCGTTCGGCATGGGCGCCGGCTGCGACAACCGGTCGGCGCTGCTGTCTCAGATGAAGATGATGGGCGACAACTCCCCCACCGGGCTCAGCCACTCCCCCATCAACGTCGAGAGCAGCTTCTGCGACAAGGCCTCGTTCATCCCCAAGGTCGAAGGGTCGATGGCGGGCGGCGCGGCGGAAGGCGACGCCTCGGCCTACGACGACGACGATGGCCGCGGTGGTGGCGGCTCGTCGGAAGACGGCCGCCCGTCCGGCGCGAGCGCGGCACGCGGCGAGAACGGCGACGGCCTCTCGGCCGAGGCGTCGACCTCCGACTACGTCCGGCCGAAGACGGAGGACGAGGCGCCGTTTCAGCCGACGACGCCGGCGCTCGGCAGCGAGAGCGGCGACGGCGTCTCGTCGTCGGGGCCGGTGAGCCCCGGCCTGAGCCTCTCGACGACGCTGGACTTCGAGATGAACGACTACAGCGAGACGTCCAGCCTGGCCGACCCGCGCACCCCGAGCCCGCTGGGCGGCCTCGCCTTCTCGCAGTCCAAGCTGTCGTCGTCGTCCGACGACCGTCCGGGCCACAAGCGCTACCGCACCCAGATGTCCAACCTGCAGCTGAAGGTGCTCAAAGCCTGCTTCGGGGAGTACCGCACGCCCACCATGCACGAGTGCGAGATCCTCGGCAACGACATCGGGCTGCCCAAGCGCGTCGTGCAGGTGTGGTTCCAGAACGCGCGCGCCAAGGACAAGAAGTTCAAGCTGAGCGTCGCCAAGCAGTTCGGCGCGGAGGCCGCGGTGGCCGCGGGCGGCGGGGAGGGCGCGGCGCCGCGGGGGGGCCGCTGCGGGCTGTGCGGCGTGCAGTACACGGCGCGCCTCTCGGTGCGCGACCACGTCTTCTCGCTGCAGCACATCGGCAAGCTCAAGGAGAGCCTCGGCAGCCAGCTGGACGGCGAGAAGTTCCTCGACCCGGCGCTCTTCCGCCAGTTCATGGCCCAGCAGGAGCTCGACCGCATCAAGAAGGCCAACGAGAGCATCGGCCTTCCCCAGCAGCAGGCAATTCAAGTCACGAAGCACCCCGCCACGTTCCACAACGGGCCCCAAGTGCCGGGCCTGGGCCTCGCGTCGGCCTACTCGGCCGTTACCGGGCTCTCGCCGATGCTCATGCCGGGCGTTGGGGGCTCCCCGGCGCTGCCCAACTTTGGGCCGTCTCCAGCAGGTTGGCATCGTCTGCTTGTGTGCTGCTTCTCGTGTGCCACGTGTGTGCGGCTTCCCGTGTGTCACACAACAGAGACCCATAGACTCACACAACAGAGACCCATAGACTCACACAACAGAGACCCATAGACTCACACAACAGAGACCCATAGACTCACACGGCAGAGACCCATAGACTCACACAACAGAGACCCATAGACTCACACAACAGAAACCCATAGACTCACACAACAGAGACCCATAGACTCACACAACAGAGACCCATAGACTCACATGGCAGAGACCCATAGACTCACACAACAGAGACCCATAGACTCACACAACAGAGACCCATAGACTCACATGGCAGAGACCCATAGACTCACACAACAGAGACCCATAGACTCACACAACAGAGACCCATAGACTCACACAACAGAGACCCATAGACTCACACGGCAGAGACCCATAGACTCACACAACAGAGACCCATAGACTCACACGGCAGAGACCCATAGACTCACACAACAGAGACCCATAGACTCACACAACAGAGACCCATAGACTCACACAACAGAGACCCATAGACTCACACAACAGAGACCCATAGACTCACACAACAGAGACCCATAGACTCACACGGCAGAGACCCATAGACTCACACAACAGAGACCCATAGACTCACACAACAGAGACCCATAGACTCACACAACAGACCCATAGACTCACACAACAGAGACCCATAGACTCACACGGCAGAGACCCATAGACTCACACAACAGAGACCCATAGACTCACACAACAGAGACCCATAGACTCACACAACAGAGACCCATAGACTCACACAACAGAGACCCATAGACTCACACGGCAGAGACCCATAGACTCACACAACAGAGACCCATAGACTCACATGGCAGAGACCCATAGACTCACACAACAGAGACCCATAGACTCACACAACAGAGACCCATAGACTCACACAACAGAGACCCATAGACTCACACGACAGAGACCCATAGACTCACACAACAGAGACCCATAGACTCACACAACAGAGACCCATAGACTCACACAACAGAGACCCATAGACTCACACGGCAGAGACCCATAGACTCACACGGCAGAGACCCATAGACTCACACAACAGAGACCCATAGACTCACACGGCAGAGACCCATAGACTCACACAACAGAGACCCATAGACTCACACAACAGAGACCCATAGACTCACACAACAGAGACCCATAGACTCACACAACAGAGACCCATAGTCTCACACAACAGAGACCCATAGACTCACACGGCAGAGACCCATAGACTCACACAACAGAGACCCATAGACTCACACAACAGAGACCCATAGACTCACACGGCAGAGACCCATAGACTCACACAACAGAGACCCATAGACTCACACAACAGAGACCCATAGACTCACACAACAGAGACCCATAGACTCACACAACAGAGACCCATAGACTCACACAACAGAGACCCATAGACTCACACAACAGAGACCCATAGACTCACACAACAGAGACCCATAGACTCACTTAACAGAGACCCATAGACTCACACAACAGAGACCCATAGACTCACACAACAGAGACCCATAGACTCACACGGCAGAGACCCATAGACTCACACAACAGAGACCCATAGACTCACACAACAGAGACCCATAGACTCACACAACAGAGACCCATAGACTCACACAACAGAGACCCATAGACTCACACAACAGAGACCCATAGACTCACACAACAGAGACCCATAGACTCACACAACAGAGAACCATAGACTCACACGGTAGAAACCCACATTTTTTTGTCCTTCCCCCCGCACCTCCGATAAGCTACGGTTGGCTGACGTACGGCGCGAAAGAATTTCAATGCTACGTGCGTTCAGGACGCCGCTGCAAAAATCGACGGCGTGAACCCCCCTCGGCAGCTTCCGTGACACGCAGGCAATTCCCCTTTTGGAATTTGGGCCATTTTTCGCGGAGAGCGGTCGAGCGCCGATCGGAGGAGCCGGGCGGCGAACCCCGGCGATGCCGCGGTGAAGCCTCCGTTGTGGTCGCTTGCAATTTCGGGCATCGAGGCGCCACCAAGAAACCGTATACAGTAGAAGCCCTCTTGACGAGCACTCCTGTTAACGACGCATCGCTTAACGACGGGCCTCCATAGAGCCCAATGTGTAGTGTAGTGTGTAGTAGTGTATAGTGTAGTGTATGTAGTGTATTGTGTATAGTAGTGTATAGTGGTGTATAGTCGTGTAGTGTATTGTGTTGTGTATAGTGGTGTATTGTCGTGTAGTGTATTGTGTAGTGTATTGTGTAGTGTATTGTGTAGTGTAGTGTATAGTGTAGTGTATTGTGTATAGTAGTGTATAGTGTAGTGTATTGTGTATAGTAGTGTATCGTGTAGTGTATAGTCGTGTAGTGTATAGTGTAGTGTATTGTGTAGTGTATTGTGTAGTGTATAGTAGTGTATAGTAGTGTAGTGTATAGTGTAGTGTATAGTGTAGGGTAGTGTGTAGTGTATAGTGTAGTGTATAGTAGTGTAGTGTATAGTAGTATTTCGTGGACTGTCTAGTCAGGTCGTGTAGAGTAGTGCCTCCATAGAGCCCAATGTGTGGTGTATAGTAGTGTAGTGTATTGTGTAGTGAACAGTAGTGTGTAGTGTATAGTGGTGTAGTGTATAGTGTAGTGTATAGTGTAGTGTATAATGGTGTTTATAATGTTGTTAGTATCTATGTATTAATATGCATTGTTTATATATTACAAAGTACGTTTTTTGGGTGAAAAAGAGGGCAACTCCTCCCCCCTTATCCCTCCTTCTCCCCCCTCCTCCGTCCCTCCGGCAGCAATGACGACGCCCAAGGCAGCTCTCATCGGCTTCCCCATGTCGGCGATCCCCTCGCCGGGTCTCACCGCGCCCGCCGCGGTCCCCAGCAAATCACCGCAACAGCAGCAGAACGCCGGCACCGCGCCGCAGTCGCCGGGCAATGAGAGGAGCAAAGACGCCGCTGGCGACGACCAGGACACCGACGAGCGGCAGAAATCGGACGCCGCGGCGAAGCACGACGAGTCGGACGCGGTCGTCCAGCAGGCGCAGTCCGACCAGGCCCAGCTGCGGGCCCTGCAGGCCGCGCTGGCCGGCGAGTCCAACGCGACGGCGGCGGCCGCCCTCCTCGCGGGGCAGCTGCTGCCCTGCTTCGGGCTGCCCACGCTGCCGCCGTACTTCAACGGGCCGCAGCTGCCCACGGCGGCGGCGGCCGCGGCCGTGCTGCAGGGCGGCTACCTCCAGTCGCTGTACGGAATGGACGCCTCGGGCCTCTTCCCCTACGGCCCGGCCTTCGCGCAGGCCGCCCTCGCCAACGGGCTGGCGGCCGGCTCGCTGCTGCAGCAGCAGGTGCAGCAGTATCAGCAGAACGTGCAAGAGGTGCTGCAGCAGCAGCAGCAGCAGATGACGCAGGCGGCGCAGCCGTCGAACGGCTCCGCGCAGGGTCGGCACGACAGGGGCGGCCAGGACGCGAAGGAGGCGGGCGACGGGGCGGACGACGGCGCCAGGCCGCCGGGCAAAGGCAAGGGGGCGGCGGACGCCCCGACGAAGCCGAGCCTGGCGGAGCACTGCGAGATGAAGTGCAGCCTCGTGTGCCGCAAGTGCCAGATGGTGTTCTCCGACGAGACGCTGGCGCTGGCCCACCAGAAGTCGCTCTGCTACTTCGGGCTGGGCAAGGTGGACGCGCGGGAGACCCTGGTGCGTGTGCCCTCGGGCCAGTACCAGTGCAAGGCCTGCGACGTGACCCTGCTCGGGGAAGACGGCCTGCGACGCCACCTCCAGTCGTCCTCGCACCGGCAGCAGGTCGCGGCCAAACGAGCTTCGTCCGACGCCAAAGAGCAGCAGCAGCAGCACGCTAGACTATTATTACCTCACTCCTTTCGCGCCACTGATTCCGCATCTACCTCGCAGCAGCAGCAGCAGCAGCCCATGCCGGATGACGGCGGCGGCGGCTTCTCGGCAGCCGGCTCCTCGTGCGCCGCTCCCGTCGCCTGCGCCAAATCGTGGCCGCCGTTCGCCACGCCCGTGACGCCGCCGTCGCTCCCGCAGACGCGCTTCTTGCCCGCCCTCGTCACGGCCTCCCTGGCGAACTCGGCCGCGGTGGCGGCGGCGGCCGGGATGGACGCGCAGGTGCCGGCGGCGGCGGCGGCGGCGGCGGCGCCCCAGCCGCCGGTTTCGCTGAGCGGGTGCTCGGGCGACGCGGACCAGGGCGGCCAGGCGACGTCGCTGGCGAGCGAGCGCGCCATCGCGGCGTACGGCATGATCTCCGAGCGCGAGTCGCAGAGCGTGGGCTCGTAGAGGCGTTCCGCTCGCGGGCGCTCGCGACGCTCGGTTTTTATAGATAGCTTTAAACAAAACTTTGAAAAAACAAAAACCAACATAAAAACGGAGACACGATCATTTACTGTGCATGTATTAACCCGTTGGTACATTCCTTTTATTTTTTGAGAACTATTTTTTATTTGTTTTCCCAAGGGTGTCGGCCTTGCGTATTGTTGTGTCGGGAGCCGTTGCGGCGTGAAGGCGACTCGTGGGTTTTGCTAAAGAGGAGGAGGGAGGAGGAGGAGGGAGGAGGTCGCCTTTAAATGTACCGGCGCCAACGTGGAGAAGAGCGTGGGATGGCAGGAGAGGACGCGTCCGGGCGGGGGCGAGGGGCCTGGGTTTTGCTCGTCGCAAGCGGAAGAAAACCCCCAACGTCGCGGCGTTTGACAAAAGGGCTTCCTCCGCCCAGCACCCCGGAGAAAGACCAACACGTTGCATCGAGAGAGACAGAGAGCAGGGGAAGAAACACTCAATTCGGGCCAAGCTTTAATAACAATAACAAACAACAACAACAACCGAACGATGTCATTGACGACGACGGCGCGTCGAATCGTTAAGCCGTCGGTGCCACGGACGGCTCTCCCTGAGTTTTTGCCGGCAACTTTAAGGGCAGCCTCCTGCGGGGGGGGGGGGGGGGGGCGAGAAAACGGCGGCAGCCCCCCCCTCGCTCCCCCCACTCGCTCCCCCCCCCTCGCCCCCCCCCCCCTCCGCCGCGTAAACCCGTTCAAAGAGAGAGAGAGAGAAGGTGCTTTCTAATACATTTGCAAATTTCCAAAGGTGTTTTAACCAAAATAAACCAAATATGAATGGTAGGACGATCACATCCCCCCATTCACACCGCCGCAAATATAGCTCAAGCAAAACTAACAAAAGAAAACTACGAAAAAAAATAAACAACAACCGCCGTCAGCCAGAGAGATGGGTCCGGTGCTTTTGTGCGCATTTTGTCCGAGAGAAAAGAGAAAACGCAACAATGTGTCGGGGGGTGGGGACGGAGAAAACGATGACCACGTGATGATGGAAGAAGTGTTATACCTCATTTGAACTTGTACGTATCCCAAAAGAAGATGGAATGATAACAAAACTAAAAAAAATTGCGTGGGTAACATCCAAGGAAGGTTTAACCCAAGATGTGTATCCGACGGTCGTGTCCACCTTGTCTGCCATCCGTCAGCTTCGTGAAGGTTCCAGTATTTTTGAAAGCCTCAGGTTTAATACAAAAAAAACGAACGAACAGAAGGAAGGAAGGAGAGCGTTGCGGCGCGCCAGTGCGTCGTGGCCGAGACGGATATCTAAGCGGGAGTGGCCGTGGACGACAGCACATTCCTCGGAGAATCCACTTTGACCTCAGACCACTTTTAGTGGGCGCGCAATGACTGCGGAACCCCCGCCCCCCGCCCCCCGCCCCCCCTCCGCGCGCTGAATTTCTTCGTCCCATCGAAGTGCGTCTCGGACGAACGAAAAATGGGGGAGAAAATATATATTTATTTATTAAACTCGGCCCGCTTTGGGGCAGCGCGTTTGACGCCGAAAGCCCGGACGGGCTGAGCGGCAATCCGCGTTATGGCCCCTCGCGAAAGAGCGCACCGTGGGGTCGACCCCGCACGGTGTTCGCCCTCGCCCCACTTCCACCGCGGGCACCGCGGTGCCCAGGCTGGCATCGTCCACGGGCAGGGAGGGAGGTGGGGGCGCTCCGCTTGCTCCCCTCCCGTGGCCGCGTGGCCGCGTCACAGGCAGTGCGAATGGTCGCAGAGGGCCCCACGGACTTAACTCTGGACGCGCCGACGAAAAGATGCAAATCGTTTCCGCGCGCTTTCGGTTCAGATTACGACGAGAAAATATTGAGATGGGGTGGGGGGTAGTGGCGGCTGGGTGATGCGCGGGGGGCGAAAATATAACTTTGGAATGATTGTCGCGGGGGGAGGGGGATGGTGGAAATAATGACTAAAGTTTTATAAATAACGCTGTCGGCACTTAAAACTTACAGAGGTCTGCGAGGCTGTCGGTGGCAGGCGGCACGGCGAGCGATCCGCAGTGACAAACGCGTTGAGCTTTATAAGGCAAAGTGATTTTGCTGTCCTCATGCAACACGTCGTGACTTTGTGTGTGTGCGCGCGCGCGCGCGCGAGAGTTGTTTTCCCGATCGTTCAAACTACGAATGCTGCACTGCGTTGGCACACTCCTGCTGTAACATCTCATTTCCGGTGCCCCCCCCTTACCCCCCCCCCATTGCCCCCCCCCCCCCGGTTTTAAATGGGAATGTAACGATGACCGACGACGAATTTCCGTCGACGGGACACGGCGGAATTTATTCCACGCTTTACAAAACTTTGCATAGGGGGGCGGGTGGTGTGGGAGCGACCGATGTAATACTGTCGACCTTGGGAGCGATTCCCCCCAAATGCTCTCGCACAAAGTGGTAACTTTCGCACAAATATCCTGCAGACCGACCGGAGCGACAACGATCAAAACCGCCGTCCGTGCGTGAAATATGCCGGTAAGGAGCGCGTGCGATCGCTCCCCACGTGCTCCCCACGTGCTCCCCACGTGCTCACCCACGTGCTCACCCACGTGCTCACCCACGTGCTCACCCACGTGCTCACCCACGTGCTCCTCACGTGCTCCCCACGTGCTCCCCACGTGCTCACCCACGTGCTCCCCACGTGCTCGCGATCACGACGCCCAAAGGGAGCTCCACGACCTTCCCAGGAAGTTGCAGCGGCACGCGTCCCCCCGTGACCTGCACGCTGCCCCCCCCTCCCTGCCCCCCCTCCCTGCCCCCCCTCCCTGCCCCCCCTCCCTGCCCCCCAACGCGTGGCTCTCACCCGTCGCAAGCGCTCGCCGCTGTCCAGGCACGGCCCTGCTTGTGCTTCCCAACTTCCATTGCCGGCGCGAGGAGTTTTCCACGTGATTTGGTCGTGGGGATACGTATCCTCACGGATACAACAACAGTATTGTTGCTGTTGTTGTTTTCACCGTCACCATCGTTGCAATTCGAACGATGGTGACGATGATCTGCCCTGACCGTAGCATCGGCGATGATGATGATGACGACGGTGGTGATGACGGTGGTGATGGTGGTGATGATGATGATGGTGACGGTGGTGATGATGTGAAACTGACGGGTGCCGCGGGCTCTGTGGGTGTCAGCTTGGCCGCAGTGTGTCGAGGCGTTCAGAGATTCCCCACAACAAGTTGCATCCTCTGGTCAGCAGTCACAGCACACACGTGCACACCACTCACACACGCGCACACCACTCACACACGCGCACACCACTCTCACACGCACACAGCACACACGCACACTACTCGCACACACGCGCACACAGCACACACGCATATAGTACATGGTGCGGCGTGGTGCGGCCCGCTCGTGCGGGGTCCTGCGCCGGCGACGAGTGAGCACCGACGCATCGCGAGGGCCAAAGCCGCCACTGATGGACAGCGTCGGACGGACTGACGGACGTGTGCCCCTTCCGCCGCCACCACCACCGCACCGCGCCGGTTTCGCTCGCTAACGCCAAATGGCCTCGTCCTCTGCGCCCCGTGTACAGCGGTCATTAGCGCACAAATTCGACCGTACGCGGGACGTCGTCCGGGCGTGCAATACGATGGGGGGGGGGGGGGGGGTTCGTGAGAAAGGGGAAGCGGGCAGAGCGGTGAGGTTGGGTGAAGCGTGGATGTTCTTGGCATTTTCGAAGTCCTCGTGGAAAGGAATCGGGACCCCGCCCCGTTTTCGACTTGTCGTCTGCGAATACCGGCCAAAAACGATGGGATAGGTAAAATAAAAATAACAAAAAAATAGGCGAATTGGTGTAAATACGGTGAAGTTGGGATATTACCTTTTTTTCGTTTTTTTTACATTATTATTATAATATATGAAATGCATATGCGTATATCGATTTAACTCTATGGCCAGTTTCGGACCCAGGACCTCATGTGCTGAAATGGGAGAAAGAAAGCAAGTCACGGGACCACGCGCGAGTCAGCGTTGGGAAAGATGGGACAAGTCCCGCTGGGGGGGGGGGGGGGGGGGGCCTGCGTGCTTTAATAAGCGGCGTGTGCGCGTACTGCTACAGCAGGATGCCCCCCTCTCCTCTACCCCCTTCCCTTCCTCCCCTCCCCCCCACCACCACGGAGAAATATGCGCAGGTAATTGTTTGAGGCGTCTCCGACGACGGATTTGCAGACGTTTCAATATAGCTTTAAGACACTTCACCCCTCTTCCCTCTAAGCGGAGCGATTCAAGTAATAATTACGCGCGAAAGGAATTGTGGGTATCGGGGGTTTTGTGTGTTTGTGTGTTTTTTGTATCGTTTGCGTTAACCTCCCCCCCCCCTCAAACTTATTTATGAGATATCGGGTAAAAAAAAAGACCCATTAATTTTCAAGAAAAGCCTCAAAAATGTTTTCGGTATTTTTTTTCGAAATCTTGAGAAAAGAAAAGTATACGAGACATTTTGCGTTTGGTTTTGCAGTTTTTATTTCGTCCACGAATGGCACTTTTTAGTTTGTTCACCCCCCACCCCCCTATGATGTTGTCACGCGCGGGGCACTTTTACGTTTCACTTCCTTATCCAAATCTTCGCTCGGACTGGAGAGAGATGCATGCGTTATCGATACGAGTGTGAAACTGTGAATTCAGCTTGCATTGACTTGCTTCCCCCCGCCCGTCCGTCCCCCGCCCTTTAACAGTTCATTCCAAAGTATTTTATAGAAATGTCTCTTTTTTTTTTGCTTGAAAAATTCTAAGGGGAAAACAAAAAAATCATTGCATCGAGATAAATATTCAGCCCCAATGTGTTTGGTGTATCCCCCCCCCCCACACTCCTCCCGTCGTCACGGGGAGAGAGCGTGTGGACGTAAGACTATATTCTTGGTTATTTGGGTAAAGTCACGTAGATAGAAAAATAAAGTAAAATTACAATAATAAAATGAATTAAAAGTCATTAAAAAAATGTTTATAAAAAATAAAATGACAATTACAAATACATTTTAATTAATAACTTATTTTCTATCTACGCGACTTTACCGAAAGAACCAAATAGTATGAATTCCTGCAGTCACGAAAGTTTTGAGTCAAAGTTTGTTCGAGGCCCGGCGCGGGAGATCGAGGAGGCGAGTCGGGCCGTGACCACGTTGGCGTCCGGGGTCACGGCGGCGTCCGCGCGGATACCGACTCAACGCGTTTTTATTACGACAAAAACACGTGGACGGTGTTTCCTCTCCTGTGTTTTACATTTTTTCGTGTGCGTGTGCGACTCTTTGGCCTCCGAAGCGTTTATTTTTTGTTTGTTGTTGTCGGGGTCTCTACTATCGTTTCGTCGTTAGATATTTTGGTTTTTGAAATCGGTCACCCATCATGGTTTTGACGATTTTGTTTGTTTGTACATTTTTACAGATCCAACATCAGCAATGGGGGGGGGGAGCATGGTTTTTTTTAGTTTTTGGAGGACCTTTATTGGTATATTTTTTTACCGTCATTCAACGTTTTCCTTTTCTATTAGGGAAGTGATTTTGCGCCGCCGTGGAAGCGATCGCCTTGGAGCGCGGCGGGCGACGCGGAGTTTTTCCCGGCGGCTCACAGGTGGCACAGGCGACGACGGGGTGCTGGTGGGGGGGGATCATCGG